TCTTCCTTTTTTCACTCATTTTCGAAACAAGTGGATTCAAAAGCCTAAATTCTTCACTCTCTTCGTCTACTTGGAAGTCAGGGTTCTCAAACATAACTTTAAATCGATCGTCGGTGAGAATATTAGGAAGACTCTGTAAGGAAAATATAAAAATTTTAACTTACTATCCGAATAAAATCTGACCAGAAAGATGGCTTTCAAACATTTCACTCAACTGTAAATTAATAAGCTACGTAAGTCATAACATTAAATTATTATGACATTTCTTTAGAATTAATTCCCAGAACTTTCTAATTGCCCCTGGGTTCTAGCTCCTACTCAGAAAAAGATTCTATTAATCTATTTCATAGGTGATATGTATTATTTGGCCGTTAGCATAATGAGCTAACAATGAGCTTTTCGGCCTAACTTCATGCTCAACATATTAGGGTTTTCTTCAATGAACATTTTTAATGTAAAACCACTTTTTCAAGGAAATACATGTTTTTGAAACATGGCTTTTTAAGCATAGTTGCAATACCGAATTAAAATGAGCGAGTCTTTCGACTTCATCTTCCAAAACCAGGAAAGGAAGTATACATCGACAACGAGCCAAGGATTAACGAGGTGGGGGCCTGGTGGTGTACGTTTGCCGACTCCGAAGGAATTATTTGAAACATGAGGGATATTTCCATGCCTTCTAGGATAGCCTCACAACTTGTCTTCTCTCAGCCATTTAATTGTTCTCAACAGATATACACATATCCGTGTAAAACTCTGTCATTCTGACGTTATAAAACTTTGCTACTGAGATCCATCCATGTAGGTAGCTCGGGACTAACACTAAATTCCTTTTCATTTGTATCATTTTTGAAGAGAAAGTTTCCTAAAATGTATTGTAAACTTATAAGTTCACATGAACAGTTGACAATCTTATACACTCAGGGTTCTCCTAGTGTTCCTTATCTGCTATAGGCTTGGAAACCAGATAAATTAGATGAACGTGGTTTGTAAAGTAAATAGCCTGAACGTAGGCCGAGACAACTAACCTGTCTGTGGTGGACTCTAGCTCTAATGAATGGACTTATTTTACTATTTCTAAACGATTGAGAATAAAGAAGGTGGTATGAAGTTGAGTTCTGAATATTGTACTTATGTAACAGAGCTACACAAAAATTTGGTAAATCATGAGCTATTAAGGAACTTGGGCTGTCTGCTACTTGTAGGTACTTAAAATCTTAGCTAAGACTCTGCTGATTCATTGCCTGAATCAGGGCGATGAGAATTCAAGGGTGGGAACACAGACTGTTTTAGGAAAGGGTTAGTTACTGTGAGATCCGTGTCTACGTTAGCTGACAGATACGGCCATGGAGGAGATGGGGGGGAAGAAGAGTGAAAAAGCAGGGTTAGAAATTTCTCTCAAGTGTCTGGCTTAAGTGATGAGAAAGCTGGTGATGCTATAGGTTAGGGTCCATCACTGGAGAGCATCAGGAAAAGGGACATAGGGTGAAGTAAAGGGCAAGAAATTATGTTCCAAGAATCCAAGATGTCCTCCAGTAGGTGAGGAGGTAAATTGTGGTATACATGAACAATGGAATATCATTCAGTGCTGGAAAGAAACGAGCTCGCTCTCAAGCCGTGAAAGAACCTTAAATGCATATTATTAAGTAAAAGAAACCAATCTGAAAAGGCTACATATTGCACGATTCCAACCACATGACGCCGAGAAAAGATAAAACAAGGGGGACAGTAAAAAGATCAGTGGTTCCCGGGGCTGGGGGAGGGATGAAGAAGGAGAGCACAGAGGATTTCTAGGGCAGTGGAAATACTTTGTATGATCCTGTAATGGTGGATACGTGTCATCACACACTTGTCCAAACCGGTAGGCTGTGCGACACCAACAGTGAACCTGAAAGTAAATCAGCCTTCGGCTGACCATGATCTGTCAACGCAGACCCACTGACTGAGACAGATGCACCCCTCTGGTGGGGGAGGTGACGGGGGGAGGGCATGCATGAGTGCAGCAGGGGTCTATGAGAAATCTCTGTACCTTCCCCTCAATTTTGCAATGAACCTAAAACTCCTTATGGAAAATAGTCTTTAAAAAAGTCTAGTGGATGAGAAAAATTAATAAAGGAAAAAGAAATTATGTTCCATTTAAGACTGGTTCAGTCTATGGCATAAGAAAAACGTCATCTGGATTGGGATGGACCACATTATGTGCCCAGGAACAAGGCACCAGGTCTCAGTTGAGGGGAGGGAGCTAGACTATATAAGTTTTGGAGTTATCTGTAAATATAGGATAGGTGATACTGTCAAAGATCCAAAGACATTCAAATAAATAGCTATTAACCTTTACACATTTTCAGGTAAAAAAAAAAAATAGAAGCCAGGGGAAATTTTTTCCTTTTCATCTTACTATATTTATTAAATAACCATATTTAATAAATAACAGAAATGTTTAAAAGAATGTTGCTAGTACTCTTAAGTTTTTTCTTAATTTAAGACAAAAAAAATTGCTTTGCCTAAAGCCAAGTACGCGTTGGATGAGCCCCAGCTGTAAAAATATTTCCCCCAGGGACTTCTTCCTACTCATTTGTTTGTTTTCATAATTGTCTTTAAAAAAAGAAGTTAGGTAAGATGTAGTTAGTGATGTTCTACAGTCGTTTACAAGTGTCTGGCTAGTGATCTGCCCTATAAATACTCATGTACGGATGCTAAACACTTGCTATTAAAAATTCGGGAAACATCTTACAGTATTGTTTATACCATAGTCCGACTTGACAGAGGTATATTTGTAGATGTGAGTAGGATGCATTGGATGGTTTGTCCCAACGAAGTAACACGTATGAGGAATGCTTGACATTTAAGACAAATTACTTCTTCTAATGCTATGACGTGTATGAAATTACGGCAATGCAGACTTCTGAGTAAAGATGGTTTGAACAGAAGCATTTCCTCTAAAACCCCGGTAAAACAAGAGAAAAGGGGCTTTAAAAAGGCACGAACCCTTAAGGAGGACGAGGACAGGAGGACATGGGAGAGGTGAGACTGGAAGTGAGAAAGAAGGCCTGGTGCCTGGCGCTCCACCCGGGGCGTCTTCTCTGGAGGGCGGAGGTGTCGGGCTGGGGCAGCAGCACCCGGGGCCAGGGAAGCACGGGGCAGTGAGGGAATGCCGCCTGCCGCTGCTTCCCCAAGCCCTCTGGTTCTCGGAGTGTTGGTAGCCGGGCTGTCATTCTCCGAGAGAGAATCTGAGCAGCCAAGAGAAAGGCCAAAAAGATATTGCTATTTGGAGCATCCCCAAATAAACGGTTTGGCCAGGTTACCACACAGTGACTGATGAGCCTTGTCACCACCCAAGTTTCCACTCACGTTTTAAGTGTTTCTCTATTAAATATGAATAAATGAACATGGATCACAGCAGGGAAAAAAAACTACTGTTTTTTTCCAAGAAAACTTCCCAGCTGAAGAGCCTGTTTATAGCTTGAAAGGGTCCCCAAGTGGCCTGCACCGTGGTCTGGATTTCTGGAAGACGGTCTCCAGTGTGCACAGAGCCACTGTGGGAACTGCCTCGGACTCTTCCTCTCTCCTGCCTTACACTCTTATTTTGGAGGACAAAGTCCTAAGAAACTTCCTGAAGAAAAGAAGCACGTGACAGTGATTTGTTGCTGTTGAGAACTTGCATGTTTGACAATCTCTTCATTACATCCTCACACTTGTCTGGGCTGGAAACAACAGTCCTTCAGAAAAGTGAAGGTCCTCAGACTTCTGCACCCAACACGGGTGAGGTGGAGTGAACCCCCCAGGATGACGGCTGGGGACCAGGATTCCCAGATGACCAGCCAGAATGGAGCAGAACAGGAAGATGGAGGAAAGACTTTCTCAGAAGAGTAAAATGAACGCATCGACCGATCTTCATATAAATATCTTGAGATGAGATTTAGACGACGGGCAAAGAACTGAGGGCGAGGTAGTGATAACTACAGAGAAAACAAGCAAAAAGTCGATGACAAAGCGCAGGGAAGACAGGGAGGCGCGGGAAGTACAGTCGCAGGTCAAAAGGTGACTCCGACTGGACGTGAAGAACACGTGCACAGTCCTAACAATGAAACGCTGAAGCCCGAACTTAGCGCGGTAAAGCAGAATGTCCCTGGGAGAGAAGCTCTTCAGGACAACGCTGACGCTGACCAGGCAAGTGGCAGCACCACGGGCAATAATAAGAGACACGGAGTAGTATACCAAAATAATCGGCTATTTTAGGCAAAAGGGTTTGTCTTGGGAAAGCTGAAAATGGGACCGAGGGACAGCCAAACTATGCATGTATAACTCTAATAAAGAATACAATTTTAATTGGTGCTGAAAAAGCTTTAAAAAAGAATACTTTGGATATTAGAATCGATCTGATGCAACCCAGTGCCTTTGCGTGATATCTTTTCCCCGGAGAGATGAATTATTGCTTTAATATAAACTCTTAATGGTGCTGAATAATCCCCGAGGCCATTTAGACGCCTCGCCCATGGTTTCCGGGCTGCAGGACACTCTGGAGATGGCATGCACGACAGCACCCGGGCGAGCTGCGGCAGACTGCGGGAGAAGGGAGTTCATACAGACCCCAAGGCAATAGTGAGAAACGGGCAGAGAAGGCCAACAGGAAGGAAATGACATGTGTAAGAAAAATGGCTCTAATCATTTCTCAGACCCTTACAAATCAAATGGGTCATGGGTGCCGTGCCTCCCAAGCGGGTTCTATACACTGGAAGCTCAAAACGTACTTGTTGAAAGAATAACTGAATTCATTTTTAACTGGAATGAATACTGCCAAATTTCTAAGTCTGGAATAAGGTCCAGATAATGCTTTTTGACATTATGTGGTGGGTCACTTTACACTGTTGGTCCAACATCGACTGAACCGTAAACCTCTTATTAGACGTTAATTACGTTATCAGGAGCAGCAATATCTGGGAACATATTTCACTTTCTGTCTCCACGGAATTCCAGTCGGAGCCAAAGCAGAGCATAACTTTACCACACTGACTTTCAAATCAGGAGTTATCAGCGCTATTAAAGCTCTCGAGGGTTTGAAAAGCTGAGTTCAAAGTCAAGACTAACAAACTGCTGATGGATTTAACAATTCTTTCAAGTATTCTTTACAATTATAATGAAGGGTTCTTTCCTTAATTTATGAATGGTTTTTAAGGTCTTCATTTTAGTTAGATAATCCTGCTAAAGAACAAATCATACAAGCCTTGTCTAATACCTCAGATTTAGAAGACTATATTTAAGGATTTAAGTATTTCTATAAAAAAAAAAAAAAAAAACCAACAAAAACTAGGCTCTGACCATAGGGCCTGATCTGGGTTAGCGAGCCACCAAAAAGCAAACCAGGGGCACATTTTAACCACTTTCTAGCAGAATTTCATCAGGTGACAGAGCGACAACGATAGCACTTCCAGCCTCCTGCAGCTGGAAAGCAGCAGCTGTTTGATGAACGGAGATCTGAACTCTTCCGGTTCTTCCTCCCTGCCACCTGCCATGCAATCGGGACCTAGTCCCACGATTCTTTACAGGACGGTCCTATCAATGTTTCGACAAAACATTTTAGAGGCACAGGCGACCTGACTGACAGACAAGCAAGATCACTCCGCACATTTTTGACTGCGTCCTGCACCCCGAGCGCAGTCAGGACAGCTGTGTTATAAACCTTCCGGCTGCCCCAACCTCAAGCAAAGCCTGTGACAGAAAGGTGGGGGGTGGGGTGGGGAACTTTCTCCACAACTTCATAATCATAAGAGCCTTTAAAAAAGTCTCCTGAACTGTGTACTAGGCTGCACGAAGTATCAAATTAAATTTTAGTTTAAGTGTCCTACCCTCTGTGACATTAAATGTGATGATAAGGACCCATAGGCATAAAACACAGGTGCTGGCGCCACATTCTTCCCACTGAAGCTTTAGGGCACGTCGACCCAGAGATCACTCCCATTTACTCAGCTTGTAAAATGACAGTATGGAGCTGAAGCGGCCTCCCTAGTCACCCCCAGGCTGGGCTAACATGAAAATCAGCGTGAGTCCTCTGAGAAAGTCAGCACTGCAGGAAGCACATCGTAGGCACTTCAAGATTCACGAAACGAAAGCGGAATCATAAAAGCCACCTAGTCACTCAAAGACGGCTTCTGGAAATTCAGATTTCAATAATATATTAAAAGAACGTAACAGACCAGGACGACAGGGTGCAGAAGGGATGAGGAAGCAGAGGACAGCGGAGCGGGCAGTGCGGTGAAGCCGTTTAGAAACCACAGTGCCGAGGACTGTCCTCTCTGGTCCTGTCCCCGCACATTCCGGAATTAAGCAAACTAAGATCCAGTGACACGGAGGGTCACCCGCGGTGACAAGAGGGAGCGAGCAGAAGGAACAAAAGCAAACAGGCAAGGAGCTCACGCGTCTGGGGCTCACGCTCCCCCGAAGGGAGAGAGGAGAACCGGGCGGCGCCCCCGGGGAGCAGCACGCCACAGAGTCAGGCCGTTCGCTCAGCCCTGAGCGAGACCTACCGCCCCGCGGCCTTCTAGTAAATATGGGAATCCAGGCAGACGAGAACAGAGCACCGCGAGGAACTTCCTCGAGGACTCTCACACTGCTGGGAAAATGGCAAAGTCCCCTGTCCTGAGAGTCATCAGCCGAACGAAGCGCTAATCTCCATTTACTTCATGACTGATCTTTGCCTGTTTTCACATTAGTTAGGGCAGGCAGGCAGCAGTTACACGTAAGTGTGCACACTCCCAACTGTGCCAAGTCTAAATCAAAATCGGTTACTTCTGGAATTACAAATAAACCTTAGTACAAAAAAACCCAAACAATCTAAATATCTAAAGGATTAATTATAATATACCCATAAGCTAGAATGTGCAGCTCTCAAAAATATTTACAAAGGATTTTTAATAAAATGGGAAGCCACTGATGTTAGTTATTTCATAGAACCAGGATAAATACTTTATATATACTGTAGTATCTTACTATTATAAGTTATAATTTTAAGAGAAATAAGGAAAGAAAGTCACAAAAATATTAATGATGCCTTTCTCTGGGTAGAATTATGTAGGTGACTCTCTTACATTCTTTCCTATTTTACAAGCTTCCCATATTGAGCATATACTATCTTATAAGCAGGAAAAAAAACTAATTGTATTTTTAATGTAAAAATAAAAAATAAAAAAGCTTTAAGTGACTATCGAGAAAATGTAGGAACAATTTATCAATATTTTCTCTGCATTATAAAATCTTACCTTAACTTTCTTTTTCCATGTTGATTTTTGCTTCTCCTCCTCCTCCTCAATTAATTTAAGTGCCAGCTCCTTATTAACTTTTGGCAATTTCTAGTAGAGAAAAAAAAAAACAACTGTTAAAACACCTACATTTTAGCTTTCGAGGTTAAAGCAAAGAGCCGGGAAAAAAGTACTCCACAGCCCAGGCTCCCTTGCCAATGTTCACACATTCACCACTCTAAAGACTCAACAAATCATCTGGAAAAAGGGAAAACTAGTCACTAGACTTGTACTAGTGTGTGCGTGCGTGTGCGTGTGTGTTTAAGCAACGTCCAGTGGGAAACGACTATCACTGGTGGCTGACTTTAGTCAAGAAGGGTCACTACAGAGTCGGGAGGGCAGGACAGAAGGACCGGACGCGGTCTCCCCGCCTGCTTGTTGTTGGGCTGGCACCACACGCCAACTCTTCTTTGCCCTGGCAGCAACAGGTGGTCCCAGAGGAGGGGGGATCCCGGTTTGCTCCCAGAGCTGCCCTGGTCACCCCCAGGACGCCAGCAGCGTGGCAGCCCCCGCTGAATGCCCGCTGCCCAGCCCTGGAGAGTCAGCTCCACACACAAACCTCCCTGCAGCCGCCGCTGCCCGCACCCGCGCCCCAGCGCTTGCGCCTTTTCGGGGCTCTGACACCTGGTCAACAGTTCTTTACACGAAATTCTCTGTTGATGTAACGAGTGTGGGCCGATTGCTGTCTGGACCCTGACAGCGTCTAATGCCTATTTCCCACGATCTGAGCAGCTGGCCTAAGACACAGCCAAAGGTCAGTAAGAATGGGGACTAGCAAAGCCCCAGCACCCCAAATCTGAACGCCTATTTAAAAACACCATCGGATGTCCTTAGGAGGGCTGACGGTGTCAGCCCATCTGACATTCCCCATAATACCATCACCAAAGAGTCCATGATGAGTCAAGAGTCTTGACAAATAAAGTGTACCAAAAATATGAGTGAAAAATGTAAACTAAGGATGGAAAGACTCAGAGATAAGATAGATGGCAAGTTTCTTTAGAATACTGCACGACATGGAAATGAAGTACCCTTCTCTAGCAAATCCAGTAGTGAGGACAATACCGACCTTTAACTGGACTCTCTGAGCGCGGGTTTCTGCGATCTTCTGCCGGATCCTGTCCTTCCTATATTCTTCATAAGCAAATGGGTTCACCATCAATTTCACCTTTTCAAAGTGGGAAAAAAAAAATCGTATTTAGCAGCACGTTTCATATACACCATGACTATGACTATGTCAAATAGATGGCTCTCTTGCAAATCCTAAGTATGTTTTATGAAAATGCAAGTAAGTAGAGAACAAATGGCTACAGATTGCTCGTTAGGCACCTAGAACAACTGCACTTTGGCACTTACCTTGTGATAGAGTCTTATGTCCATGAAAAACCCGTGCATGTACGCCCGGAGGAAAGGTGAGCCAATGAGATGTGTGAGGCCTGGGGAGAGGAAACCAGAAGAGGGCAGGTCCTTATGAAATCCTGATTAAAATTTAAGCTTTTCTTGAACAATTTGATTACAATAAAATTTTACTTTTGAATAAAAATTTAAGGATTACAATTATTAATCTTTAAAAACTATGGAGAAAATTTTAATCCACTTCAGCAATATCAACCTCACTTATTTTTAATGTGACACTAAGCACAAAAATGATGAAAAAATCTTTATGAACCATGACAGACTGACAAAAAACAGTTCTCTACACTGGTGGTTCTTCAGATTTTTGGATTCCGTGAAACAGGTAATTTTTAAAATAACAGTCGGACCGACGCTAAGCTGCCATCGTTTACACTGCCCAGTAGGAACAGTGGTGGTGGCGGTGGTAAGATCATTGTTATCTCCCATAACTTCCAAAAACAAAGGACACGTCACAACAGTAATGTAGAGGCATGTTTTTCCCCAAAAAAGAACAGTTGATCAAATAATGCCAACATATATAACCACACATGTGAACATGAACACATATGCAAACACACTTCAGTATGGTTGAACAAAAAGTTCACTACTAATCAGCAATTGGTTTAAATAATGTTTTTAAATGTCTTTCGGAGGGTTTCCTAGTTTTAGATTACATTTACAAGTAGTGGTGCAGGCGGTCAAATAAGGATGCTCTACTATGTCACGGAGATTATTTATTTACTGCAAATATCTACACAGAGAAGGTTAGGAGAGTATCTTCAAAATAAGACGTGATACACCCATGTGAACAGCAGCTTAGCTGGTATGATACTAAGTGATTATGTTTCCAAGGAAAACATTGCCTGGATTTTCATTTTTAGAAATTTTAGAAATGAACATCTGTCTAGACCTGAAAATCCAGTTACTAGGCAAAATCACACAGATGTACAAAATAGTACAACGTCAAAAGGCAAAATTAAATTTAGGATACTCTCATAAAGCAATTATAAGACTTGGTCAGACAAATACTTCTTAGAATTCACTAGGTCAGTAAAACTACATGTGTTGTAATAATTTTTGTTTCCTCTATTAAGTGTATAAAACATTTATGTCATTGCATTATCCCCACTCAACGTTAGGTCATAAATAAAAACCAGCACAAAGATTTCCTACTGAAACAATTCTAGACAGAGAACCCGACAGCAGCAGAAGCCCCACAGTCAGCTCTACAGAGCATGGGTCCCAAGAGATCTTCTGAGGAAGAAAAGTTTCTGTGTTCAGTAAGTTTGGGAAATGTATCATACTTTCCTCCCTTCCTGGAGACTTAGTATGTGATGGCATTAAGGCTCAAAGAAGCCCACAGGTAAAGAAACTGATTTAACTTTGCTCAACCTAGCGTTTCTCAAACTCATTTGCCACAAATCTTTTAAAATAATGGTTAACATTCGCATACTACGTTTAGACACTGTGCTGAGTACAGTTCAGACACTATTTGATTCATTCTTCAAGCAACCCTGTGAGTGGGTACCATTATTATTATTGCCACTTACAGATGAGGAAACCAAGGCATAATGAGGGTAAGTAAGTTGGCCAAGTCCTGCAGACAGTAAGTGGTAGAGGTGGATGTGAACCCATGTCAGTCCGCTCCAGTGCCCATGACATTAGCCACTGAGCTAGCCATCCAGCCCTTCTGGCAGAAGTAGTGTTCCATGAAACACATTTTGAGAAATGCCATGTTATAGGATCTACTAAAGGCTGTAGCTGGGAAAAGTCAGAATGTGCAAGTACTTACTACTAATAATACTCAGAAATAAAGGAAGTTAGTTATAAAGCCTTGCTTCTACTTTTAATATAAATTATTTATAAAAGGTTTTATTTATAATGGTGAAATCTGTGAAAAATGATAACCATTCAATATTAAGAGATTAATAACGTACGTGAAAATGATTTCTAGTATAACTTTTGCTGCTTATTTTCACAGCTTTAAAAATGAATGGTATGATTACATTTTAACAAAATGCATTTTATTCTCCAATATAAAAATGTAGGCGAGTATGACACAAGCCTACTGTAAACACTATGTTGGAGATATTTAAGAAGGCACTTCAGTAGAAAGACCTTATTTCATTCATGAGTCATTATTTTTTTTAAATGCTGAATACAACTTTCATTTTAAACACATTAAAATTAAAAGAAGTATTTTGATAGAAATTAGAAAATAATTCTGCCTGGATTAACGGTGCTATGAGTTACTGGTTAAAAACGAAGTTTAAGAACCTTCTATAAATCTATTGATTACATGATTTCATTTTCTTTTAACAATCAGCTGCTGCTGTGCATCTGTTTGTTCCGAAGATAACTAAGTTGCCTAGACTTGTGGAGAAGGGTCCTCTGAGTCTTCCCGCTTTCAATCATTTGCTATGTAGCCTTTTCCCAATGATAGAACAAGATTAGCAAAATCTACTCTCTTCATTCTACAAACCAGTGCATGGCGACTGGGTAAACATGTTCCTTCCGGGGGCCTGTAAGCTTGAGTTAGAGCACGGACTCTGGCTTTCAATTCCAATCTTCGCACGTAGTATCACTGAAGGCCCTGGCAAGTTACTTTAATCTTTTGGTGCCTCAGTTTCCTTATCTATAACATGGAATCATAATAGCATCCACTCCACAGAGCTGTGAGGACTAAATGTGTTGTATGTAAGACATTCAGAATACTGCCTGGCACGTGTAAGCCCTATTTAGGTGCTGAGTATTGTTAAGAGGCATTTCTGGGTTTGTATTCTTTAAATCTCAAGTAACTATGAAAGTTCTACGTATCTGAGAAGTCACTCTGTGGGTTCAAAGTGTTGTAGGCGCACATAAAAGGGAGCCAGAAATAAAAGGGAGCCAGAAATCGTTTACGTGCAGTCCCTGAGATTTTTCAAAATCATATCATATTCAAATAGTACTTGAAAAAACAAATCCCTTCTTTCTTGGCATATTTTTTCCATACATAGATAGTATGCTAAAAAAATTATTCCCAATTTAAGACACAAAAGTAAGTTAAATTTATCTGAACTTTCTCTAAGCAGAGACTGATTACAAACTTGACAACATATGCTATGTGTAACATCTGATGTGGCAGAAAGAGAAGATTTGGAAAATCAGATAAACGTGACCCCACCACTTCTAAAATGTTTGAAACTCCAGAACAAAACAAAAAAAGTAGAAATAAAATAATTTTATGATCTTTTTTTTACCTAAATTTTCCAGGTCTTTCTTGGTGACAAATTTGTAATCGTCATAAACCGTGCTTTCTGGATTCTCTTCCAATTCTTCTGTCAAGTTGTCTAAGAAGGAACACCACCTGGGAGCAGGACCCAAAACCTGCCGGTGTTGAAAAGGTTAGCACGGCTACATACATTCTCACCAGGTCAACGCAGTTAGCTACTGTAGACCAGATCTCCTCAGATATAATTTTTAAATCCTTGATTCGATCAGAAGTATTGAAAATAACTGCAATATCCATATCCATAATCAACAAGCATATCATGGAAGAGAATAATGGCGGGAAAAATTTAGGCTCATAAGGGGAAAATCTCATTTAGGCTGGGATACAAAGATATTAATAAACAGTCTTACACTAGAACTGTGAAAATACAGATAATTCAGGTACTTATAATAACACATCCATTTATCACCTCATTCATTCAAAACAATACCAGAATCTACAAAGACATATTTGGTATACTAGTTTTTAAGCTTGCCACTCATGACAAAAGTCTAAAAGGAGAATTACCTTTTTCAAGGGTTTTCAACTAATTACCTGATAATTACATTTGCTCTTATATGGTCTACTTCATTTAATTCATTAAAGATTAAAATTCTATATAAGAATTCTTCAGACTTGATCTAAAATGGGTCCCCAGGGTCCATGAGTGAGTCCCAGTGAAAAGTTGAGGAACAAAGGACTGAACAGAATTTATAACCAACATTATACAAATGCTTCGGTTTGTAATCCAATGACTTCCATGAAATACTGATTGCTTTTGACTCTTCTGCTCTTGATGTGAATCTTTCTGGGCGGACGCCTCTCCCTCTGGGGCAGACGCTCACCCCGGAGGAGGCGCGTGTCCGCGGGAAGGCAGGGCTTCTGGAAGAGAGAGCCCTGGGCTCTGACAGAATGGGACTTCCGCTGACTACCTGCCCGTGAATTCCGATAGGAATCGATTTTAGAGGGAAAAAATGAATCATAATGGAAATTATTAAACCTAGCTTAAGCTTTTCGGAGAAGGGAAGGTGGGAGCATTACAACAACAACAACAAAACGGCCTCTAATGCCCTTTTCAGTCAATCAATCCAAAAAAAATAATAAAAGATGTTAGATACAGCCACACTAACTTACAGTCTTTTGCCCGATTAGAAGTGGGGACCTCACCCTTACTGCCAAAGGCTACGGGGCTCAGGACCATGAAAAACAACGACTAATGAACACAGGAGGAGTCCTATCAAGAAGTTCCACATTAGCATGATCTACAATTTTTGAAAACAGATATACAGGTTTTATACACTAAGTGGTTTGACTCTAACCAGACAGGACAAACTTTCAAGAAATGCAAGGCATTTCTTAAAAATTCAATGTTGAACATTTTTTAAAGAGACTGCTAAGATTTTAAGCAATTTTAGGACAGCAGTTGAAGTAAACAAATATCGATAGCACTACTACATACAAAGCTGTGTGCTAAACCAGTCACGGACCGTGATCTCCCTGGAGTTTAAAATCTAGCCAGAGCAGAAAGACCTGTGCACACACACACGCAGTTGCACACAAGGGCGCACACTCAGCTGTTTAAAGCAATGCAATGAGTCCATGAGGAAGAGCAGTGAGGGCTGGAGAAAACACGGCCGGCTGGGACACTGAGTAATAAGTACATTTGACAGAACTTCAGGCTGGAACGAACACGTGAGCAACCTAGGAACAGCATGAGGCGCCTTCTGAGAGTGACGGTGTAGGCACTTGCAACTGCAGGGCGCCCGCTTCCCGCCAGTCTGAAATCTTGCAACGCAAAGTACCACCACATGCTGGTGGACGACTTAAGAGAGTACAGTAACTGTCATCGCTCTTCTAGAATGCAAGATTCAAGATGCTGTCCTCTTGGGAGGGTAGGAACTTCATCTGTTTTAAATGCTGAATTTCCCGTATCTAGAACATTGCCTGCCAAGTAGTAGGTGCTCAATAAATATTTCATAAGTAAATCTGTTCATTCATAAAACATGTATGCATTCATGAATTTCATGTGCATAGGGTATTAAGACTTAAAAGGTCCTGTATGGCAAAAGTATTTTTAAACTTGTCTAACTGTCCTTATTCAGATAAAAATACTCAAATACCTTCCTATAAAAATACTGGATATAAGAACACTTTTTGGAAAAGTCAGACATATTTTGCCTACGCAAAGAGGCACTGGCTGCCAGAGGACCTCATAATAAAGCAGTTTCACCTTTAAACCTTAAATCTCATAAACACGGGCATCATGTGTTTACTGACTTTTCTGGGGGAACGGTGAGAGATAGAAATACCAAAAATATCAGACCAGATCTCAACTTACTTTCACACAGTCCTTTTTTGATAATGTTCCACAACATTCTTTTTTGATTAGTTATCTGGATTCTAGTGGAATTGTTTTAAATTGCCTCTCAGGGACAGATCTCGTTATGGTGAATAATCTCTGCAGTCAAATTCATGGCCATTAAATTTTACAGGAGGAAATATTTCCATCAAAAACAAAATTAAACCTAATGGGTTGATTTTATGTCTCCCTAGTTCCTTTTCGGAGAAAAACATCAGAACAACCATAACAAAGTTGAAACTACTGATTTAACTGGTATTAATCTCAGGTTTTATCTGCAATAGAGCTTTCATCAACATCTACCATTAAGTTGTAAAAACATGGCCGGCTCACCCAGTGAGAGGGCTGACCATGTGCAACATCCTCTGATGAACCTAAAATGACCACAAAATTAATTAACGTGTAAAAATTCCTTGCTATCTTCATTTATAAAACATGTTAATCTTTAAAAATATATTAATTTACTTCCTAGATTTCAGGCTTTCAGACTTGAAGGAAACATCCTTTTTAATCACTGGTAATACTATTACTATTACATCAAAAGTTTTTAGGTTTTCTGAGTTATCATTATATTTGCTATATTATATACTTCAGTCAAAACTGATTGTTGATTGTTTATCTACATTTTATGTACCTTAAGAGTTCTGTTTGTTACAGAAAATTGGTGAAGGCTATTCTATTTTAAACTTCTATCATCTGTTAATGACCTTCCACTTTTTATTTATAAAAATTTCCTAGTCACACGTCAGTAAAAGTAAGGAACTGGAAACTGATTTCATCAAACTGCTATAAAGGGACACTGTGGGTCCCTCAGCAACTTCAATGCCCATCTCATCAAGCAATCTAAACAGAAATACTTGGTCCTCCAAAATAGGAAAGGATCTTTCATCAACATGCTATGGGGAAGGCCCTGACACAAATGCGGCCAAGTGTCTGCTTGCTCTAATCCCTTAGGACAAAGAACGAATTTTAAAATACATGAAAATACATGCCACGTGCCCAAGACCATCTGCCTCTATGATTACAATCTGCCTTTAAAATGTTAATTATGTGTGCTTAATTTTAAAACTCAAAAATTTCATATATTTGGCAATGGACAAAAATGACTAAAGCGTGGGGAGGAAAGAGGAGAAATATTAAAATTCTCAGGGAGCTGACAGAGGAGGTATCCCTGTCTCTCCCTCTGCTGTTGAAAAGCTACTATGCCGCCCCCACAGCTGTGTGGAGCGGGAAATAAAGACTGAGGATCACCGGGTGGGTGGTTTGAACAGATCGAGGGCGGCTCAACCAGCAACGGAGGGTTAACGCTGTCCCTGGGACAGCGGCCAGGCTGCTCTCGCTTGGTAGACACGCCATCGCTTCTCCATTCACTTATCATGCTACTGAGCATGTCAAATTTTTATGGTTTTCCCACTATTAATATGAAAAGTAATAATTGGGAACATAGAACAGCAATTAAATTTGAAATTATCTTGAGTTTTTAATAATTTGAAAAACAATTAAAAATACTTTAGCAACTAAGAAACTTTTTTCTTTTTTTTTAAGAAAATTCTTAATTACTTCACTTGTATCAAAAGACAAAATATAACTTTGAACCCAAATTAGCTTATGCATGGGAAACTTCAACTGATATATAATTACATTAGAACACAAAGAAGTACATAATATATCCAAGTACATGCAGTCGATTTAAAAAATATTCCTAAAATTTTTTCAAAATGTATTTCAGCATACAATGGAAAGTGGATCGTATTTTTGAATGATAATTGGAAAGAGAATGATGATAGCACAGGAGAGCATAACATCACATGGAAGGACTTAAATATATACTTTTAAGTTCAGATAATAAAACTAGAGCCATTAAACATAAGGTGGTAGATTTTCATTCAATAGATATTTACTGAGTTCCATATTTTACGTGTTCCAAGCAGCATACTCTATAATATTAGGTAACAGAATGAAATCCAACAGGAAAATTGTTTTACATACAGCAAACTTGTGCGGAAGGATTAGATGACTCTTAATTTCCTCAACTTCATTCATTTATTCACTCAAAAGGTTAACTGAACTTTCATTAAAAGCTAACTGTTAAACATAAGTAAAACAAAGTTTGGGAAACAATCAAGTAAAATATATTGTGATTAGTTCCACAGAAGAAAAATCTTTAAGTGGTTCTGGGGAGCCTTTATCTGCTGAGGCAGGAGATCAAGACAGCGTGGAAGGAGATGCTATCTTGAAAAACTCTGAAGAGGTTTTATGATTTTATTATACTCAGTGAAACATAATAGCCATACTAAATAGTTAGAATTTAATGCTACATAAAATTAATATACGTATTTTACCTATTGATTATACAGAAGATCCCTGGTTAGAAAAATTGTCAACTTTACCTTTCAGTGACTTTATACTACTGTAATCCTGGAAGCTCAATTTAAACATCGTTATGATGCCACTGAACAGCTAAGAACAACACTTACTGACAAGTAACAAGGAAGAGTTTGAATATAAATAATTTTGCGACCACGTAAATCATCTAATTATTTTGTTACAGAACTGTTTTCAAGACATTCTAAAAGTAGATATAAATATCAGTTCTAAAACTAAAGCAATAACAAAAACAATAATAAGAATAACAAAAATAGTAATAGCACTCTAAGAGGTATGGGGTTTCACCCCGCATTAGCATTTTAACCTGCATCCAACCAGAAATCTGTCACTCTTACTATAAGGCCATAACTCTTTATCAGAAACTATTGG